ACAGCCTCAACTGGTATTTCCTCATTACGATGCCGAGGCTGCAGAGGGTGTCAGGCTGGATGTTCCCCTCTGCCAGCACAGCCGGGCCTCGGGCGGCTCCTGCGCCGGGGCCGGTGGGATTGGGGAGCCTGCGGACCCCCAGCTGTGCTCCCACTGCGCCAGCTGTGTGGGAGTCGGGAGCAGGACGGGGCTGGGAGCACTTTGTGTGTGTAGGGGGACTGATCCTGCACTAACAAGAGCCCCAGCCTTGTGTGTGTAGGGGGACTGATCCTGCACTAACAAGCAACTTGTAGCTTGGGGTTATTCCTGCTGAGCAGCGGGAATGAGGTTTAAGCGGAGCTGTATTGATGTGATGTGGGCCATGTAAATCTCCTCCTTTCTCCTCTCCATGCTTGTCTCCTGTTCTTTGGTGTTGCTGTGCAGGACAAAAGAGCCCTGGTGATCCCCAGCTTCCCAGAAGCTGTTGGTGAACTCTGGTGCTCTGGCTGCTCTGAGTGCAGGACAAGGCTGTCCCAGCTGCAGAGGCCCCGCAGCCTCTCTGGCAGTGTGGGCACAGCTCGGGCAGAGGGAGCGTGGCTGATGAGATGAAGTGACTTGCTCCACATCACCAGGGGACCCCCAGACAGCCTGGCAGTCAAAACAGGCCCCTCCAACTCTACTTGCAGTATCTTCACACACCAGAGCATCCCTCTGGTGGCTGAAGAGCCCCTCACAGCACCACGGTGCCTGTGCCACGGACGGTGCTGTGCCTGCTGCTGGTGAAGGTGGTTTTGACTCAGGAACCATCTGTGAGGTGGTGATGGGAGTGGTGGCACCTGTGGCACTGCCCTGGCTGTGTGGGAGTGGGCACCCCACTGTGGCAGGGCTCTGATCTGCCCATCAGAGCCCTGCTGGTCCAACCCCAGCATTAGCCTGGGTTTAACCTCTGTGGCGTGGGATACAATCACCTTGTTTTCCTTGTTTCAGTGCGTGCAGGGGCTCAGGGAGCGAGCCCTTTGCCCGGGTAAGCTGCTTTCGTGTAATTCTGCTGCCGAGTGACGTCCCCGGCGTGTGCAGCCGCAGCTGCGACACCGATCCCTGTGCACACAGAGCCGGGGCTGTGGGAACGGCCCTGCCAGCCAGGGGAGGGAGGTGGATCTCGTGGCAATGGTGGCGTCATCTCAGCTATATTTTACCGAGGCTGACGTAAAACCGCTCAAGTGATGGCAAAAGCATGAAATATAGTTGTTTGAGTGGGTAAAAAAACCAAAATACAGAACATGGGAGCACTGACATTTGATGTCTGCAGTCTGGCTTTTTAGTAGTATTTATGCCTTCTGCCTGTTCTTCTACAGTATTTTAATCTTTTTATGCTTTCAGTCACTTCCTCTGGACAGAGTTGCTCTCATTGCTGGAGTACTGTGGCAGAATGTGCTGGGCTGAGCTCTGTGGAGCCGCCTGCCCACAGGCCTGGGCAGCTTCTGCAGCTGAACAAGACTTGGGGTCAAAGGAGGTTTTTCGTAGAATCACAGAATAATTTAGGTTGGAAAAGACCTCCCAGATCATCAAGTCCAACCTTTGACCGATCCTCACCTTGTCACCCAGCCCAGAGCACTGGGTGCCACCTCCAGTTGTTCCTTGGACACGTCCAGGATGGCGACTCCACCACCTCCCCGGGCAGCCCCTTCCAGTGCCCTTTCCATGAAGGAATTCTTCCTGAATTCTTCTTTTTGGTGTCACCAAGGTGTGTTGGAGGATGTGTCCTGTGCCATGGGATGTCAGGTGTCTGGGCTGGCATCATTTTGGTGCCTGTTGGTGCACATTAACCAACAGATGAATGGAGTGGGATGACTCCTTTTTTCCAGCAGATGAATGGAGTGGAATGACTCCTTTTTCCCAGTCGATGCCAAAGGAGGATTTTTCACCTGAAGGTCTCAGCTTCCTTTTATGCTGGCACTTGTCTTGGAGCCTCTTGTTTGGGGGCATCTGTTCGCCTCTTACTTTATTTTTTTCCCTCTTCTTTGTCTTTTCTTTTACAGAAAAGATTATTCAAATGAATATTCAGTTTTATTCATTTGAATAAAAAACCCAACCGTTTGACTCTGTTAAATGCTTATCTCTTAAATAGAGCTTGTTAGCTTCCAATAATAGCTTCATTCAGAAGGATGCAGTATAATTTCATTTTAAAACGTGTGCTCCTTGACAACCGGAATCCTATTTCTGTCACCGTTTTCAACAGCCGCCTTTGTTTTGGGTTAATCTTTTTCATACACTTTCTGAGAACGATTTTTTTGTTGACTCTTAGTCCCTCTCAGAAGAAATAATTGTCTATTTAGTCCAGGAAGGGTTCTGAGAGTTTTGGTAATTTAAAAATGAGCGTGTATTCATTATGGGAACTAATAAGTCATGTGTGCAGGGGGATCTTTGTGTGGGTGCAGTTATTAAAAGTTGGAATCTGATATCCATGAAGTGAAACAAGAAAAGAATCCTGGAATGGGTTGGGTTGGAAGGGACCTTAAAGCCCATCCAGTTCCACCCCCTGCCATGGGCAGGACACCTCCCACTGTCCCAGGTTGCTCCAAGCTGTGTCCACCCTGGCCTTGGACACTTCCAGGGATGGGGCAGCCACAGCTTCCCTGGGCAACCTGTGCCAGGGCTAAGGTCTCCCTTAAAGGACCTTTTACCCATCACTTTTATGAACTTTTTAATTCTGGGTTGTATGATCTCTTGGGGGTTGTTCATTTGGGGAGCAATGGCATCTCTGGAATAACATCCTGTGGGATTTAAGTGCCTGTTTACCTGCAGATGGAAATCCTCTGGTTGTCCCCTGTAAGTTAGAGGAGTTGGGAATCAGACATAAGATGTTGTGAGCCTTCAGCTCTGGATGCAGAGCCCTGTATGGGCACCTGACCCTGCGAACCCCTTCCCTTCCAGAGAGGATGGAATGGGAGGTGGTAGTAGGTTATTTCACATTTCCAGTCTAACCAAGTGCCACAGATCTTTTTAGAAACCTGCAAGTGCCTGCTGACACCTACAGATTGTTTTTTTATTGTTACAAAATCTGGAAATGCAGGGAGCTGGCTGGCTCTGTGGTTTAATGAGACAAATGATTTTTTGACAAACCTGTGTTTAAGGCATATGGAGTGGGAGGAGAATGGGAAACTCGTTTCTGAGTCCAGACGTGTAATGACTGCAGTGGATTTCCTTGCAGTGTTTGGCATATTAGGGCTAATCTCCTAAATTCCCTCTGCCCTCCATCCTGGCACCGAGACCTGACACAAGTTGCAGGAGAAATCCTCAACTGCAGCCCTCGCTAATGACTTACTAATGATGAAGATGCTGCTGGTGCTCAAACAATTAATGACTTGTAGCCCTGGCCTGGCCATCTCATGGCACCAGGCAGTCAGTCCCCAGCCACACACAGCTCCCAGCTCCAGGAATTGCTCCGGGAATTGCTCCAGGAATTGCCCGGTGCAGCGTGCACCAGGATTCCTGGGATGCCGAATTCAGCCAGTTAACCACAAAAATTTTAGTTTTAACTACGGGTCTGTTTAAGGTGGATTTAAATGGAGTAATTTAGAAGGCAAATGAAAGACTTATGTAAAAAAATTCAGGCTGCTGCCTGCTCTAAGTGCAAAGCAAAGCAGTGTTCTGAGCCTGGTGTGCTGTCAGATGATGTGTTATGCCTTGGAGAAGAGCTAGAAACCATTCCTGGTGGGTTTTCCCCTGGTGAGAGGGTCTGAAGAGGGATGGGAGCATTCCCCATTGCTACACATACTGTGTGTTCCTGAAGGACCCATCCAGGAACTGCTCAGACCTCACTCTGAAATGCTTCCCAGCATTGAGTACTGTAGCCTGCAAAGTGTCTCCTGTACCTGGAGGTTGCAAGAAGCCTCTTTATATTTTTAACACTTTCTACTGTGCCCCACCGAAGCAAATTCAGTGTGTGTTCAGCAGGATGCAGTTTTTAGTGCGGTTTGGGGGAATGGAGTTCATCCTGTTATTACATTTTTGAGATTTCATTAGCTTAATTTGTGTCGGTGTTGACTCATCAAGCCTTCGCCAGAGAAATGTAGCACATTAGCTTGATTTTTTTTTTTCCTTAAGGAAGGAGCAGGGAACAGGACAGTGTGTAGCTGTGGTGGGCTGCCAGATCCCTTCAGTGCAGCCCCAGCAGAGCAGACAGTGAACAGCTACAGGCAGGCAGCAGGCATCAAACAGCCTAAACCAGCCCCAATCCGTGGCTCTTTGAAGCACCAGCGGAGAAGAGAGGAACGATTAGATCAGAGGCCTTAAATGTAATGGGTTCCTGGAGGCCTCAGGATGTCCTGATGAGGTATTAGAGGAAGTAATTCAGGAAGAAAGGGACAAATAACCACCTCCGGAGCTGGGCTGACCGGCGGGGCCGGGTGGGGAGTGTCGGAGCACGTGGAAACAAAGTGCTGCTGTGTGTTTGGGAAGCACTGGGGGTTTTTTTCCTTGCCAGGGGTAAATGAGGAATCATCTTCTGTCTTCCCGGATTTTTATGGTTTTTTGGGTCGTGTAATGAGTCAGCTCTAATGGAGAAGTCCCGTGGAATTAAACAAGAGATGAAATCAATATGGTTCCATAGAAATATAATTGGGTTTTGTGGAGACTGCTCTTAAAACCCTATAAGGTGTAAAAGAAAATACAGCCTTATTGTAGTTTCTGAGCCATCATGTAGCTGGGGTGTAACTATCCATTAAATTCTGCAGGATGGATCAAAAAATCCATAAGGAGGTTTTAATTCTCCATTAAATCCTATGGAAGAGCTGGAACAGAACCGTATTAATTTTCCCTGAGACAATGCTTCTTCCCTCCATTAGTCTGCAATCAGCTCAGGAACAGCTCCATAGGCAGCAGGTGTAGTCACACGTGCATGTTGTTATGGAAGTTTTCCAAAGTCCCAATGGCTAAATAAAGCTTTATTAAAATGAAATTGTTAAGCTTAACTAATGTTTTTCCTTCCCTCTTCCCCTTTTTGTATCTTTATTAAATAGGATTTGGCTTCGTAACTTTTGAAAATGAAGACGTGGTGGAAAAAGTCTGTGAGATTCATTTCCACGAAATCAATAATAAAATGGTAAGTTGATGGTGTGTTGGTGACAGCGAGTTCTCACCTCGGGTCACAGACATGAGCTATGTCTGGGGGGGATTGTGGCCCTCTGGGACACCCCTCTGGGAGGTTAGTGGGGTGCTGGGGTGGTGAGAACAGGGTGGTGCTGAGCCTGGCCCACGGCTGGCCCAGCCCCTGCTCCTGTCCCCCCGCAGCAGGACGGGTGTCTGTCCCCATGGCACAGGCTCAGGCAGCCGCCCCAGAGCACCTTTTGGTGTGGGAAGGCAAAGGGCTGAGTGTGGTGGGAGCTGAGCTGCTCAGCTTCTCGAGCAGCCCTGGAGCAGCCTTTCTCCTCCTCCTCCTGCCCATGGTTGTTGCCGAGGCAGCTGCCGAGCGATGGCATCAGGGGGGTTTGGGAGGGAAGTGCCCTGGGGTGGCTGTTCTAGCCCATGTGCTCCCAGAAGTGCAGTTCTGGCTGAGCTCCCGGGTCTGATCCTGCTCTGACGTGGCTGCTGCCTCTGGCCTGTGTCCCAGGAAGTTGTGGCTCTCTGCCATGGAGCCACAATCCCTTCCCACCCAGGCCTGACCCAGGAGCCAGACCTGGGTGAAGTTCCTCCTCAGTGACAGACAGGTCCCAGGTTGTGGGTTGCCCTGTCAGTAAAGCCACTGAGCCAGATGAAAAGGGGCATTTGTATTTCAATTGCTGCAGTAACTTTGATATTTTCAGCTAAAATATTCTTTTTCCCTTTGTCAAAACATCCTTTGCTTCTCAAATGTGTATTCAGATATGCATTGTATATTGGTCTGATATGTGTTCACAGACTTTAAATTCAATAATAGAGCTTTTAGTGTGGATAAGATCAAAGCAATCTCCTTGGCATATGCTGGAGGCCTGATTCAATATTTGACTTGCTAATTTTTCCCAGGGCACTGAAATAATATTCCTCATATTGTTCCTCAGTGCAATATGCGTCTGAAATAAAAGTGAGGGTCCCCTCGGCCAGCTGTGGGGTGGGGTGGTGGGGCAGGTCTGGGGCAGTGCTCCTGGTCCTGTGGGAAGCCTCTTGCTCCACTTCAGGTGGATGCCTCATCTTCAGGTGGATGCTGTGGGCTTTGTCTCTGCCCTGTTTGAGCATCTTGCTGCCCGTGAGCCCCCTCCTGCACTGGGGTCTCCTGCCTGCCCCAGCTACACCTCACCTGAGCTGCCTGCGGGGTGAGGGAAGGCTCATTCCTCTTTATATAGTTACTGAGTGCTGATTAATCTGCCTTAAAGTTTAAAAAAAGAGCAAACCCCAACCACCCGCAGACGACAGACCCAGCAACAAATTAGGAAGTACTTGGGATGTAAATTTAGGGATTGGCAGGTGGGAGGGAAGAGCTCCAGGGTTTTCCTACCCACAGCGGGTGGGCACATGTCGTATCATGCTCCATAGATTTAGTTATTCCCACAATACTTTTCTCTGGAGTAGGGCTCAGCCTTTGCCTGGCTCAGGATTGCCTCTCTGGGGTGCTGTGGGGGTGATGGATGGGGCAGCAGGTGCTGGTGTGTCCTGGTGCCAGCAGCAGGGCAGGGCACAATGTTTGATGATTCATCCCTGGGTCTGTACCCACGGACTAGAAAAGCCTCACCTGGTTCTTGGTATCCCCTGGGAGGAGGGGTTGGGGGAGAGCTGTTGAGAGGATCCCTTCCCAGGCAAAAGGCTGCATGGGAACGTGACAGCAGCACGGGGGGTGTGGAGGATGGGACAGGGTGAAAACACTCAAGGAGCATCACAAAGAGCCAGAGAAGCAGTGTGGGCTGTTGGTATTTGTTGTTGGATAATTACAATACCTCCTGCTTGCTCGGTGCACGCTCCAGGTGCCACCATGCTCTGAGTGTTCTCTTCTTGTCACTCCTTCAGCACTAATTTTGAAAGCAGCCCACGAGCAAGGGGATGAGACATGATCCTGTTTTGGGACTGAGTCATCGTCTTGCTGATGTGTCTGCACATGAATTGCCAGACCCACGCAGGGGCAGGGGAGCTCGTGTGTGTGCGTGTGACAGGAGCTGGGGCGGCTGGCCCGGATGCCCGGGGTGACACACGGCTGGCCAGGGGCAGCGTTGGGCACGGATGTACTTGGGTCATGTCCCCCTCTAGCCTTGAGCTGTGGAGGGGACGGGCTCTCTCAGCCCACCTCAGCCTGAGGTGATGGGGTTTGCACCATTCCATGACCTGGGCCTGGGACACCCTGTCCTCATCCCCATCCCCATCCCCAGGCTGCTCAACTGGGGCATCCACGGCTCCGTGGGCACCGGCTCACCCTGAGCTTGCTCTTCCTCGTCTGCTGACCTCTGTCATTTCCCAAAATGCAGGGGCAAGCAAAGGGCAGGGGGTGGCTGCTCCCCAGCCTATTTCCAGCTCCTGTCTCCCTGGCAGGCTATTTTTAGCTCATCCATTCTACTTCTGTTGCCATCCGTAAAGCTTAGAATGTCAACTGTAATATTAAACGAGCAGTGGGGAAGTGAAAAGAAAATGCCAGGGAGGTATTTAATAACTGAAACTCGGAATTTACGTGGGAGGCCAAAGATGCTCCAAACATTGCGGGGGGGACAATAAACCCAAACAAGCTGTCCCTGGATTATTGCTCCTTTGACAGGAGCAGGCAGCTTTTGCAAAGACACCTGGTTTTCTAACATGGTGCAGAAGTAGCTGGAAAAGAAATGTGAGAGAGTAATTTATTTTCCCCTAGATCCCGCTGTGCTGGAGTCGTTCACCTCACGGGTACAGCGGGACACACGCTGGTGAGAGGGGCAATGAGCCAAGCCTGGAGTCAGGGTCTCATGTCAGGCTCTGGAGCAGCTGACAGAAATGTTGGGCTGTTCTAGAACAGGCTCTGACACTGCCCAGCACCTGTGGCTCTTCCTCTCTCTCAGGGTGGGATTTTGTGGGGTTTTTGTTTCTTTTGTTGTGGGCTTTTTTTAGTGCATTGGTGCTCCTCAGGCTTCTCCCCGAGCTGTGTGGTGCCACGTCAGGTGTGTCTGTCACGTGCCACGTGCCTTTGGGTTTGCATCCAACTACTGACCCCCATCCCTGTGAGCAAATTGGTTTAGTGTTGTCTTCAGTGGGCTTTAAATGACGAGACTTCCCTTGTGGGGGTCTCCAAGGCTGGGTTCTCCATCCTGCATGGGACAAGAGGGAGCTTCCCCACTCTGGATGTATTTAGGGACAGACTCGTCTGCCCACTCACAGCTGGCGACTTCTCTTGCAGTCTGAGGAGGTGCCAGACCATTGGCCCCACCTCACCTTTGCCAGTCACAGACTGGTTTGGGTTGGAAGGGACCTTAAAGCTCATCTCATTCCACCCCCTGCCATGGGCAGGGACACCTCCCACTAGCCCAGGTTACTCCGAGCCCCATCCAACCTGGCCTTGGACACTTCCAGGGATGGGGCAGCCACAGCTTCTCTGGGCAACCTGTGCCCATGCCTGTTCCAGTTCATCTGGTTCCAGGCCCCAGCCATTGGTCAATGATCTGACACATCAACAGACCCACGGTCTAAGGCATTTTCTAAAATAAGCTTATGACCTCTCTGCTGCTGCCTGGTGCAGCTTGCCATGGTGTGAGTGACATGATGTCCCCAAGGTGAGCAAACCCCAACAAGCTGCAAATCACACGTTTCTGGCACGACAAAGTCGCCTTGTCTTTGGGTGGTTCGATGGGGGTTTGTGCATTGTGGATACTGCGCATTCTGCTTTCCTGAAAATAGCCCTGGTTTCCCTGGAAAGCTGTTAGCCAGGGTTTGCGAGACATCCTGGGCTGAGAGCTGACAGCCTGTTTTGTTGGCCGGGTATAAGAGGCTTTTCACTCCCCAGCTCAGCCCTCCTGGGTTCCCGTGGCTGCGACTGCTCTGCTTGACCCAGGAGTACCCCAGTGTAAGGTTAATTCTCCAAACTAGACTAAACAAAAATAGTGAATTTTAGTTTCCTTGCCTTTTTTTCTTCTTTTTTTTTTAGCCTAAGAGTTAAACCTTTCTTTGTTGGGCTGCTGAAAGTGCAGCACATCCTCATACAGGAAGGTGGAAAAAATCTGGAAATTATTAAGATGCCCAGAAACACTGAACTGAAAGTTTGAGTGAGGTCCAGATTTATATACAAAGACCCTCATCGGGCAGCTCTCAGGGGTGATTCGATAAGGAGCTGAGCCCTGACTCATAAATCCACATACATTCCCTCTTGGAGAAGCTCCATTGCACATCCTGGCACATGTGACATCCCTGCTGCCTCCGGGGTTTCCCCTCACAGTAACTGTGCCTATGGGGTGGTTATGGCCACCTCCACCCCTTCCCCATGAAGGACAGGACTGGAATCTGGCAGAAGAGCAGCAAATCCCCTTTTTTTTCTGCTTTTGCTGTTGGTGACAAGGCACCATCCAAGCCCCCCACCACTCACGTGGTGCTTCACCTCCTCTTCCTATATTGTCCCAATTTGCTGGGCTGATGTGTGGGCAGCTTCCCAGAGCACCTCCTGGTCTGGCACTGCTGTCGGGGGAGTGTAACAGTCTCCCCAAGGTGAGCTGCCAGGACTGGAGTCAGGCAGTCTCTTCCCCCAGGACAGCAGATCGGGGCCAGGCTCCCGGTCCCGTATCCTGCGTGTCTCCTCCTGTGGGGAGAGTCTCTGCTGGGTAACAGAGAATATTCTCGCCCTCCATATGGGGTATACTTGTTTACAGAGGCTTAGAAATTATTTTTCCTTCCTACTGGTGACTTTTTCTTCCCCTTTAAATCCGGGTTAAAACTCCTCTGCAGCTCACTGCCGTTCCCTTTGTATCCTCGTGTGCTGTGGAATCAGAAGCGGTGCCAGGCTTGCAGAGAGCAGCGGTGGACTGGGTTGTGGTTGCAAAAGCTAATTACCAGGTTATTGTTTCTAACAGTGCTAATCCCAACTTCATTTTCCTGTTAATTGTCCATCCATCCGGACTAGATGGGTTTTGTCATCCTGACTGTGCAGTGCCGGTGGCTGCGAGGTGTAACCAGTGCTGCCGTGACGGTGGGAGCTGTGGCCATCCCAGACGATGTGGCTGTGAAATGTAGTGGCACTTCTGGTGCTCCCCATCATCTGAGTGGAGGAGTCAGATTGGCAGACTCCTGTGCAATGATCCCCTGTTTAAAAATCAGCAAAGGAGCGTTTGGGAGGATGTTGCCGTGCTGTTGTGGGAGGCTGGGGCTGGTGCTCAGGATTCTGAGCTCGCCGTATCCCTGGGTTCTGGGAGTGATTCATAGAATCACAGAATGGTTTGAGTCAGAAAGGACCTTAAAGTTTATCTTGTTCCAGCCTCCTGCCATGGGTAGGGACACCTTCCACTGTCCCAAGTTGCTCCAAGCCCTGTCCAACTTGGCCTTGAACACTTCCAGCAATGGGGCAGCCACAGCTTCTCTGGGCGACCTGTGCCAGGGCCTCACACTGGATGGGGAGGAGAGGCAGGGCAGGCTTTTATCTGGGGGGCTTTCTGAGGGCACTGAGGTTTTGGGAGGGGTACAGCCCAATTAGGGCTGTTTCCTTTGTGCAGCAGTGTTCGGGCTGTGCCTACCCACCTCTGCTCCAGCATCCTCATCCCTCTCTGCCCTTTTCCTGCTGCCTCCTGCCAGGACCCAAACACTTCTTGGCAGAAAAGCAGCAAAGAGAAGTTCCAGGAGAATTTTGCTCCACAAGTCCCTGGGTTGGGGCAGCCTGGCATGTGTTCTGACAGCACAGGCAGAGTGTGAGCATTGTAGCTTTGGGAAGTGTCGCAAGGAAACAAAGCAAATGGGATCTGTGGAGGTTGGCAGCAGGAAGGGGAGAGGAGTAGGTGGGTTTGTTTAAAATCCTCCTGTTCCAACCAGGTAACCTTTCTGAGAATTGCATAAACCTGGGATTGTCTCTGGTGGGGTTGCCTAGGAACAGGCGGGCAGTTTTCCTAAGATGATGGACACACAGTCCCTGCTCGGGCTGTTGGGCACTAGGATGGTGAGCCATGTTATCCCACATCCTGGGTTTGCCTGGAGCAGCTTCCTGCTCACATGGGACACCTTGTGCCAGAGGTGGAGGGATTGGGAGACCTGGAACCAACCCTCCACAACAGATAGCCCCTTCCCAAGCCCCTGCACAAGCCCCTGCACATGGCTGTGCCACCGTGTCTGCTGGGAGTGAGGTCCTGGATTGCAGCAACCCTGCTCCCACTCTGGAATGGCCAGGCAAGGGCTGGAGGGAGTGTAAACATGCAAAGAAGATCAAGGAACTGGTTGAAAAACAAAGTTAGAGGCACAAAACTCAAACCTGTGGATTCAGCCCTCAGACAAGTGATGCTCATCGTACAAACTGTGCAGGTGGGGCGTCCCCACACCCCAGGCAGCTCTGGGCTGTGTGGCTGCACATCATCCTATTGCTCAGAGCGTGGGCTGAGGTGTAGAGCCATAGGAATGGGTTCAGCCAACTCCAGTTAGCTTCAAACCAGCTGACTGGTGCGACTGTAGCACCGGTGCTAAGGGGACCATGGGGGCAGTCAGCTGGAGGGGTGAGTTGGCATTGCTAGAAACTGTGGAAAATTGCTTTATTTCTCCCTTTTCCTGGCCAGAAAGAGGGTGGCTTAGGGTGCTGGATGGCCTACATGTCCCGCTGCCTGCGGAGCTGGATCAGCATCTCACACAGGGATCACTGTGCGGTTCTAGTGGCGTTAAGCAACTTCCGAAGGCAGCGGGAGTAGCTGGAAGAATGCAGATCCTTTATTAATAGGGTTTACAGAAATTTTCTGCTGGGTAGAAATATTGATTCTTTATTCCTATTTTAAAAGGAGCTTTTTGTAATGATCACTGGGAGTCGTTTTCCGTTATCGATTGCAGCGGAGCCGTGCCGGAGCCCTCCCTCCATTCATCCCGTCCCACGAGTGCCGGTTTTCCTTTCAGGAACACGGAACTTCTTAAATCAGCGTTTCTGTCATCTTTGGGGGGGTTGCACTTGGTGGTTAAAGAGACATACACGTTTGCTCTTTTAAATCTGGTTACGCCGTTCTGAAAGTTCACCTTTGAGGGGGAGGAGGTGTGGGGAAGGCAAACGCTAAAAATAAACCTCCCCCCTCAAGTAGATCAGTTCTGCGTTTGACATTTACATGGAATTCATTTGCATCTCATTTGTACGTGTTTCTGCTCAATAGGTAGAATGTAAGAAAGCACAACCTAAAGAAGTGATGTTTCCACCAGGGACGAGAGGAAGGGCACGTGGATTGCCGTACACCATGGACGCTTTCATGCTGGGGATGGGAATGTTGGGTAAGTGCCGGAGCCACCGCGCAGCTCCCGGGGCCGGCGGCTCCCGTGTTGTCTCCCTGATTCCCAAACCCTTAAAACCGTAGGGGTGAGCCAACCCCTGCACCTGCGTGGGTGCGAGGCTGAAACTTTTAGCAGGGGTGGAGTGGAGAAAATAATCCTGTCTGTGGTAAATGATTAACTCCCCCCCCCCCCGCCTGGAATATAAAAAATTTGCATTTAAATGGATGTTTTAAATAGCCTGTTTTACTCTTACTCGCAAAAATAGAATGATGAAAGATGCAGTGTGTTCATCCTGACTAAAAATGATCTCTCCCCTTTTTTAGAGGAATTGAGTCACACATTATTCCCCTTCTTTTAAAGGTAGCTTTGACAGTTCAGCATAGATAATTGAAAATCTTGCTGGTTCTTAAATGACATGGATGGAGGAAGCGGGGAGATGCGTAACAGGACAGGTCGCAACAATAATTACAAGTTTCAAGGAGATGGAATGGTATTTTAGTCCTGAGTATTGTGTCCAGAAAATACTAATTAAATGGGATAAATGATATTTAATGGCAAAATTCTATTTGTGTGCAAGGTCTATTTAGTTATAATTGGTTCTCATTTGTTTCTGCCTAGATAGTTGTTCTTTCTATATAATGTGACAACCTCTGGATACTCTCTCCTCAGCCAAAATGCTGCCAATCCATTGCTGATGTTCTTTTGTAAAACCCCATATATTTTCAACTTTCTGCTTTGTGTCCCTGGACTTCCCCTCAGTTGTCACGTGCTGTGTCCATAAAACTTGTGGGAATAAGGGGGCATCTGGGGGTGTCCCCTGGCAGCAGAGAGCCTTTCCCAGGCTCACGTTCCTGGTGTGTAGCCTCTCTGGGACGCTTTGAATTTTCTATCCTGTGTTTAGATGATCCCACAAACTGAGCACAAAACCCAGCCTTGGAAGCTGGGTTGCCCTGAGCTCTGCCAGGCAGGTCTGGGGGCTGCCTGAGATGCTGGAGGACCCCAAAGCTCCTGAGGTGGACATCAGGTCAGAGGACTTGGTTCCTGTGAGGATCAGGCTGTTGTGCTGAGGTGTCTGACTCCAGGCACCGCTTGATTTGATAGGAAAAACTCCCTGCCATGTTTGCTTTATCTCTGAATTAATAGTACTTCTGTTTGTGTGGCTGGAGCGATCCATTTCTGGGACGTGTAATTGGGTTATTTCAGCTGATCATCTGTTTTGCTGTCCCCACGCTCCACCGCCACCCTGCCCCACAGTGTTGGGAAATTACATTTTCTGCTTAAAATATTTATCTTGCTCTAGTCAGTCCATGATTTCGTTACCTGTGTGTTCGCAGTGTGCTCAAGCAAATGTACTTGATTTCTGCTGTTCCTCTTCCTTTTCCACCTGTGGTGCCCCGGGTTGGGGTGGGGAAGGTGGTGGGTGCCACCGTGCTGGCCAGTCCCCCCAGCTGCAGGAAGAGGGAGGCCATGCCACCCTGGGAAGCCAAGATCCACGGTGTCATCATCCCTCTTGTGCCCACCACGTGGCCTCAGCCCTTCTCCTTGCAGCAGGGCAGGGGGTGAGTGGAACCACATTCACCTCAGTGTCCTGAAGGGATAAATTGAGCCCTCGGGTGCAGCGGGAGTCATTCCCACTGGAGCTGCTTCTCTGGGAAGTGATTGTTTCTAGCTGTGGGAAGTAAGGGAAGAAACCCTCAGCAAGTGGACCTGCACAGAGGAAGAGATGGGGCACCTGTTGGCAGGCCCTGTCCTGCTGCAGGGGTGGGTCTGGGCCAACCCAACCGGTGCTGCTCCGGCGGGTCTCGCACCGCACCCTCCCTGCATTTCAAATTGGGGTGACTTGCTCAGCACTAGTGATTGATCCATGGTGAAAGCCAGATGCTTCATTATCCACTCTAGATGGTGTTTCATCTTCCCAGTTCCTGCTTGCTACAGTGGCACCGTGTTAAATAATTAAGTGCTAAACAAGGAGATTGCAGCGCAGGAGAGCAGAGCTGCCTGGATGGCCGTCAGAAGCCCCCATTTCAAAGGCTGCAGGGCCCATCCCTGTGGGAAGAGGGGTGTAATTAACCCATCAAACGACAAGGCACAGAATCCCATCGTGCCGGAGGCAGCGTCTGCCACAGCCGAGTGTTCTGCGGGGTCTCAGGAGGCCAGGTCAGCCCTATCCCGTTCCTCCTGTTCCGTGCCCAACTGGCCTGAACCAGAGCAAGTGGGGCTGCTCTGGAAGGATTTTTATACCTGTTTCCAGAAGCCCTTGTTCAAGGTCACCTTCTCCAGCTGCTGTTCACAGGCAGAGGAGGAATCAGAGGAACGAACGCACGAGACAACCCAAAGGAAGGAGCAGGGAGCGACTCCCTCCAAAGCTATTAAGGAAGTTGGTCTTTTTCATTAATCACAGCCTCCCCAAGGAGCCTACAGCAGCCGGGGTCTAAAGGTGCGCAGGCAGCCGCTTCTGTGATGATTTGGTTGATTGGAGCAAAATTAAAGTGTTCTTCTGAAAGGATTTTTTGACTCGGAGAGCGCGGGCAGGCTGAGCCTTCTGCCAGGAATGCTTCTGGGCTGTCTGGGGCTCAGGCTGCTCGTTGGACACACACGATCTTGAGGAGAGCAGGGGCATTAATGAGCCTCTCTGCATGAAGAGCGGTCGGGACAGTTTTGGTTCCACTGACCTCCCTTTCTCTGTCAGCCCATCTTCCCTGTCAGGAAGAGCTGCTCCCCAGCCCTGGGGATGCTTGTGAACAGGTCCCGTGTCCCTCCCTGCACATGTCTGTGGCTCAGTGGGAGCAGTTTGGTGACCAGGAAGTTCACCCTGTGCCTGGAGCCTGACTGCTGTCACCTGGTCCTGGTGTGCAGACCAGGAGCCCTGTCACCCAAGGACTTGACGGTGTCACATGTTGCCCCATAGCTTTTTGCCCTCTGTTCAGGTCTGTGCCTGCAAACTCGAAAATAAGAGAGAAAAGAAGAAAGCAACATTAAGAGGAGATGGTCTTTGTCTGCCCTCCCATCTGAAGCTGCTCTCTGGGACGGTGCAGCCACCAAGTCAGTGGTCCCGGTGGTGACACCCAGATCTGGATGTGACCCTGAGCTCGGGCCCCACAGCACTCATTTCTCCTGGCAGTGGGCATCTTTCTGGTGTTTAATGTTAAAATTGGGCTCCTTTAACTTGCAAATCCCTCCAGAGACGGGAGCGCTCGTCCCCCAAAGCTTACACCCCTGGAGTGCCGGCGCGATGTCCGGTAGGATCACCGGGTTTCGGAAGGTCTCTGGCAGGGCTGTGTGTTCCTGCACACGCTCAGTCTAGGTAGGCTGAGCTCATGCATAAAAGAAGCTTGTGCCCTTCAAAGAAAGTCATTCCTTTTTCCATCAGACACTGTTGAGTGCAGTAGCAGCTGCCTGTGAGGCAGGATTCCAACGGGGAGCCCTTGGTTAGCACAGGCTGCCCCGGAGGCTGGCACGGTGCTCCGGCACCCGCTGCCGATGGGCACAGCTGCCATGAGTGTCATGTCACTCCTTAGTCCTGTGGAGTAGGAGACAGGTCAGCCCAGGGCCAAGGGAGAAGCTTCTCCAGCAGATGTGTTTCCTCTCTGTAGCTGCTCCCCAGGATGTGACCACCTGTGTGTCTATAGGGGATTATTTTTGGCTTTCATTCCTTCATGCTATAGGTGCTTATATCAAGGTCACAGCACGTTTCTTTTGGGAAAGACCCTCAGGATTTTTGTTGCAGCGTGGGACTGTGCTTTGGTGGGAAGACCCTGCCTTCCTTTGCGAATGACCCGGGGTTCCTCAGAGCAGCGTTTGGAGACAGTAATTTTCTTGCATTTACTAGAGCATTTCACTTAATTTTTCAGAGGTCCCTGATGTGCTCAGTGTTCCCACATATTGAGCATGAGCTTTGTGCATCTTGGATCACCAAATTTTAAAATGAAAAGACATTTCCATAGTCTGGGCAGGAGCCCAGTGGAAGTGGTGGTGTGAAGGTGGTTTGGTTGCTGGTTTGAGTTCTGCTCCCATGGGCAGGAGGGTCTTGCTTCAGAGGAGGTGATCCTGGCAAAACTTGGAATTTCGGTTTACCAGCAAGGGATAGTTAGAGGGATTGGTCATTCCTCAGGATTACCAAAGCAAATCAACTGCTCGGTGCCCAGTGCAGGATGAGGATGGCACCTAATGGGAATGTTGGGTAGGTCAGCATGGCCGTGATTTGGCTCGATGAAGGATCCACGTGGGCGCGGCGTTAACGCACTATTGATATTCAGCCAGGCAATTTCTCCGTGTGGATCAGGCTTCGAGTCGTTAGAGCAGAGCTGGGCACTGCAGCAGTAAATGGAGAGGAAAATTGAAGTAATGTTGTATTATAAATTTATGATTTCATCTGCCTGACTTAGGGAGCGTTGAGCTCTGGTGGTGCCGGCAGAGCCCCCGGGCAGCTCGGCTGGTGCCGCAGCCATCGGGCACAACCATGTGTGGCCCGGGAGAGTGGGGCTGCAGTGGGACTGCCCTGGGGTTGAGGCAGGACCATCCTAGGGCAGGCAACAGAAGAGGTGGCATCCAAAACCACTATGGGCAGTTGCCATCTACCACCATACCAATCCAGCCAGAGCCACAGGCACCAACCTGCAGACCTCAGGTGCTGCCCAGCACATCAGTCCCCTGCACCCCGACAGTCACAAGCTGACAGATCTGCTTCAGTACTGTCTGAATCAAAATAAACCCTGATTTTTTCACTTGGCAAGGAGAGGGGCTGCGCTCGGACGCCGCGGGGTGATTTTTCAGCAGTGGTGTTAATGGCGCTACTTACTTAGCAAACAATCCATTTATCAATAGGGTTGTTTAAAAAAAAAAACCAGAAAGGAAAAAAGGTTTGTAAAGCTTAACTCTGAAAGATCTGATTTAATGACAGAGGTGATTAGTTTCTAAGGGAATCCAGCCTGTAGAGCTGTGAAATAAATAGTCAAGGGCTAAGCGGTGTGTACATATCGCTGAGAGCGCGATGTGCTGTCCAGGCATCGCAAGGCTGCCTTTGCTTGGCACTGCTTAATCCCATAATCAGAATTCATCCAAGCATTTTTATCTTCCAGTTTTAGATTATGATTAATAGTACATTATATGTATGTATAAATCTGGTCGGAAATGGAGGGACTTGCTGCAGCAGGAAAATAGTCGTGTGATGGATGCGAGAATTAAAGGATAAATAAAAGCAGAGGTAGGAGCCCCCCAGAAGAGCCATTTGGCTGCTGAACGTGTTCTCAGCCTCCAGCCCAGCTGCTGCCAAGATTCCCACTGACTTCAGATAGTGGGAGCAAACTTTTCCTCCTCCAGGTGACCTGGAGAGGTCTGGGCTGGTGCTGAGGATCAGCAGGGATGTTGCATTAAGTGCACTGGAATTGTAAAGAGCGGTGCCTGTTTTTAAGAAAACTGAGCAAGGAAAGGTTGAGAATCAACGGGAGGTTAGAATTCTAGGAAACCCTCCTGAGTGTACAGGACACCTTGGGCATCGGCCATCCTGGTCACAGCAGACAGCCACAGTGGGACCACAGAGGACAGCTCGTTCCAGTGGGCAGAGTTACCACTTCGTGCCTTTACTGAGGCGTCTTTATGAACAGAATGATCCCAGGTGGCTTTTTCTCCTGATAACCCTCCCAGAGCTGCCTGGGGTTGGTCAGAAATGGCTTTCGGAAGCGCCTCGTGCAGCTTCCTTTTACTTTCCTGAAAAATTAAAAGCTCTTTGACTCCCTGGCTCGTTTCTGCTGCTGCCTCCAACTCTTTGATGTGTTAACTGTTGTCCTTCACACTCCCGGGATAAAGAATTACTACTACCTTAATCTCCAACTGTCAATAGCTCTGAAGCAAAGTACATTCATTGTAAGCTCTCCAAATGTCAGAGCAAACCCGTGTTATGTGTTTAGCCTTAGCATTTGGCATTTACTCTTCCAGCTAACAAGTATGCACAGTCCTTGGGCTCCAGACACCAAAGTGCATGTTAATTACCGGAGTGACAGGGCTCCTGCTCGGAGCTGGGCCAGCTCTAGATGTTTCTATTCAGAGTAATGATGAAACCTCTCTGCAGTTTGGCATGAGCAGAATAAATCTGATTTTTTAATACCTTCTGTAAAATCAAGTCTCACCCATCTTTCCTGTCATTGTGTATTGTATTTAAAAAAAAAACCTCTTCATTAATCCTTAATCTCTCTCTCTCTCTCTTTCTCTTTTCTTTGACATTTCTGTGGTCTAGGTTACCCGAATTTTGTTGCAACGTATGGCCGAGGATATCCTGGATTTGCCCCAAGTTACAGTTATCAGTTCCCAGGTATGTACATTTCATTTGCAAATTTGCTTTATTTTCCCTCTTTCCTTCTTTTTTTTTTTTTGTTTGTTTGTTTGTTTTCTTTTTTTCCTTTTTATTTAAATCCGTAGCTGCAAGCTGAGACAGGCAAGTCTGCAGGGAGCATCTCACACGACAGCAAATTTTTTTTTTTTGTACTATTTTAAAATAGATATTTACAGAGACATATTTTAAGTACATATTTCCTAGCGTGTAAATTGGTACTGGTTATTTGAAAACAAACTTCTTAAATTAAAACATAAAGCAAGAGAGATCATTGAAGAGCTGTTACCCTCCCTTTGATGGGTTTTTCCTTTCATATATATTATAGAGCTACACACAGACACGCACACGCACACAGAGACCCGCACACACCTTCCCGTGCTGTCCTGTGGTAAGTGAATATTCAGCTTTGGAGTGAAAAGTCCAACCTTCCTGTGTTCTGTGTCGGGGTCTCGGGGGTCCTTCACAGGAGTAGTTCTGATGTGTTGATGGTGGAGTTTGGCGTTGGTTGGTTCCCCCTTTCCTTGGCGTAGCTGCCACCGCAGTGGGCCAGGGCCGGGGTGGCTGGATCAGGAGAAAATAAATCATAGAATCACAGAATAGAGTGGTTTGGGTTGGAAGGGACCTTCAAAGGTCATCTAGTCCAACCCCCTTGCAATGAGCAGGGACATCTTCCACTAGATCAGGTTGTGCCGAGTCGTGTCCAGCCTTGACCTTGAACGCTTCCAGGGATGTGGCGTCCAGCAAAGCCCATCCAAAACCCCATGTCCATTCCAGCACATCCACAGTGGGACTGACACCACGCAGGACAGGGAGTTCCTTTTCCTTTCACACTGGGGTTTTCCCAGCAGCTCAAACAAGCCCAGCAGCACTGCTGTGTTTGTGGCTGAAACCCCATCTGGCCACCGTGAGACCCCAACAGGCCTTGCCTTAAATTCCTGAGCACCCTCATCACAGGGGCTCACATGCTGCAGCCCCACCACCTCCTGCCACACTCCTTGGGGCTCAGAACAGGGTGGGAGCTTGGGGTAATGAGGAAACCAAGTGAACCCCCCGTAGTGAGCAACAGCAGGGCAGGAGGAAAAACAGCATGCTCATGGGAAAGTCCTCTAGGATGGGTGAGGATGTGGATGGATGCTTGGCTCTGCCTGCAGCTGGACATGGAGGCTGGGGCAGACACAGAGCCTTGTGTCTGACCCTAGGTCATTAGAATGAGACCCTGCTTTGGGAGAATATGGATTGTCATCATCTGTAGGACGAGCAGTGTCCTTGGGATGGGGCTTTTGTGCAGCTGGTTTTTGCAGGACTGATAACACCAAGGGTAGCAGCGCTGTGAGGGTTTATTTTTTTGAATTCTACCAAAAGCTCAGCTGTCTCTTCCCACCTGTGCTATACCCTCCCGGGCCAGGCCCGAAACAAGCAGGGTGTCAGTGGAGCTGCTGGGGTGACATGCTGGGCAGGGAGGGCCAGCAGCAATGGGTGACACAGTGCTAGTGGGGACAAGGCAGGCGACCCCCTGGAGACCCCACCACTGCTCCACTGGAGCCAGTGGGAGAGTCCAGTCCTGCAGGATTGCAGCCGGGAGTTGGACGTGAGGAGGAGGCCTCAGCAGGCGCTGGTGTGTTGTCTCACACTCTCCTCCCAGCCCTCACGATTCCATGTGGCAACTGATACGTATGAAGGCACTGAGTGAGAGACTCCTTTGATAGGTTTAATGATGGAAATCAGCAGAGCTTAGATGAGTTTAATTATAAACATGTCTAAAACGAACGTGTCTGCTGCCTGGCAGCAAAGGCACCCTTCAACTCGAGCCCTCCTTAGATATATTTTCGTTAAGGGCCTTGTTTTTCCAAAGCAGGCCTTCCTGTTACTGCCTGGTTATTTTCAGTCTCCTGCAGAGATGGAATATGGAGAAAAAGATCCAAGTGGGTTGTCAGCACTAAAAAGGTGCCCCAGCTGTGGGCCATGGTGAGCCTGCGGGAGCCGGGCAGTGCTGGGAGATGCTCAGGGTCCTGTCTCACCTTGTCGGGTTTCCCTGCCCCAAAGCTCTGCCCCTGCTCCACTCCCACTCAGACCATTCTTCCTTAGCAGCAATCAGAACCTTATCAGAGTTGTTGGGGGGTTCTCAGATGATTTGGGGCTCCAGTCTCCAGGAACATGACCCGTCAGAGCGGCGCAGGGCGTGGGAGCCTCCTGGCCAGAGGTGCAACATGAGGGGTCAGGGGCCAGGCAGCAGGATGGGATGTCCCCCTCACTGGAGCAAGTGTCTGGGGACAGAGAGCCCAGTGCCAGGGGAGCACAGCTCGGTGCCAGGGAGCCATTTGGGAGCAGGGCAGGAGTTGAGGTGCTGACCCTTCACGTGTTTTGGCACTTGCAGAAGTGCCTGTGGGGCTCGTGGCTTGGAGTGTGGGACAGGCACATGCAAAACGATGGAGGGGAATCCGAAATCTACTTTTTTGTAAGTTGTCGGGTCCAAAATCTCAGTGCTGTGATTTGGAGAGAGAAATTCTCAGCTGTTTCTGCAGGAGCATCCTGGGCTGTTGGTCTGAGAGCTTCCTCTGCCTCCCGGCTCCGTAACACCCAAACGTGGTGGTGGTCAATGTAAATGTGCATGTAAATGTACAGTCACACTCCTGGGGTTCCTCTGGGAGGAGACCTGGCAGTGTGTTTCACACAGTACAGTCGTGTTCTCCTGCACGTGCCCGTCCCCATGTGCTGGGCAGGGGGGCCGGGCTGGCACGGGCACTGTCCCGCTGGGCTGTTGGTCTGTCCTGGCACAGGTTACACTGCCTAGCTACTATTTCAACAAATGAAAACCAAAAAAGGGAATTCCCACCTGGTTGAACTGTCCTGATGTTATTTAATGTTGTCCAGATGAAATGAGGTACAAATGCCACACCCCAGCTGTCTGCGTTCCCTTTCCCATGTCCGGGGCAGACACGGCGCTGCTGGAGCTGCGGGCAGGGTCCCCTCCCAGGCTGTCCCACATCCTCTCCCACATCTCCCATTTCCTATGGCACGGGACAGCCCCTGACTCCACGGACAAGACATGTGCAACCCTTTGGCGACTGCTCTGTCCCCTCCCTTCCCGTTATTCCCTCCATCCCTTCCTCACGCAGTACGTTGCCTCTTTTATTTTAATTGCAATCACTCCCTTTCTGTGTCTCTTTTTTATTTTTTATTTTTTTTTATTTCTGGGACTTATCTTTTCAGTTTAATCTATTAATTTCTGTTCTTATTTCACTTTGCAGACTATTTGCCGATTTCACAAGACATAATTTTTATCAACTAGTTCTTAAAGATGCATAACAAATTAATCGGGGTTTACTACAGTGCTAATGAGAGAGAGACAGAGAAAGCCTGGGTGGTCCATGTTTAATATCAATGTCCACTGAAAAATTGCTGCTCTTACTGGCTGGTTTGATTGACTGGACTTTTTATTTTATTTTTATTTTTTTAAAGGCTCCATATCCTCACTGCTTTGAGTTTGCTTTTTAATTTTTTTTATTATTTTTTTTTCCTCTGCTTTGTTATGAGTTTTTAATGCCCACTTGGAATGTAACTCACAAGGATGGGGTCAGGGGCGTTCCGAAGGCATGACTTCTCACAAACTTCTTAGAAATCGTTTTATCAATGAAGTAGGAAGGGTGATTGGGTTGATTTGGTCTCACAAACAGCCCCAGAGAGAGCGATTGGCGCTTTTTAACATGGGGACATCCAGCAGTAGCACAAACCATATCCAGGGTGGAGCAAGAAGGGTGTCTCCTGTCCCTGGGATCACTGGCAGTGCAGGGTGGAATTATTCCAATTGGGTGACCCGATGGCTCTCACGGACCACACGTGTCCTCATTCCATTCCCTTCATCGGTGGCTCTTGGAGAGCTGCCACAATCACACAAAGGCCACGGCGAGATGCCACCAAGGGAGGGGCTGAGGCAGTTCCTGCCCCCTCCAGCAATTCCTGCCCCGCTCCCAGAGCCCGTGGAGCTCTGAGCGACCTGGTCTAGTGGAAGGTGTCCCTGCCCTTGGAACGAGATGAGCTTTAAGGTCCCTTCCAACCCAAACCGTTCTGGGATTCTGTGATCCCAAGCTCTGACCGCCCCTGCCCCGCAGCCAGCGATGCTCCTGCACACTCCTGCACCCGCTTCTCCTTCCAAACTTTGCTTGCAAATAATGGGGGAATCTCCTGAATTCTGGCCAAGCTTTCCCTGCTTAAGCTGCATCGCTCTTCTTCATCTCCACCCAAATCGCAGGAGAGCTGCAAAGCTCCTGCCATTGGCTTTAACAAGACCAGATTATGGACTTTTGGGTAGAAAACACACATTATATTTAAATTCTGCTTCTCTTGAAATGTTTCTGCCCATTTGATAAGTTTGTGAGAAGTACGTTGCATGCTTACAGTAGAACTGTAATGCATTTTAATGTTTGTTAATCCACTTGTTTAAAATGTCAGTGTCAAAGGCTCTACAATCCACGGCTGTGCTGTTCATTTCATTAAAGATGCTTGATGTAATAATTGGGTAGTTTTCTTTTGACTTTTCTGCAGGCAATAGCTTTTTTTAATCTGTATGGCTTCTTATTATTTTGTTTGGGTTTTTTTGCTATGAATTGCTTTGCTTTTGTGAACTTGTCTTAGTGTGCATGATTTGCAAACATTTCGGCTATTGTGAATTTTCTCATTTTTTGTAAATAGTCCATCTGTGCTTTTCTTTTTTTTTTTTTTCTTTTTTATGACTTTTTTTCCTGTAAGTAACTGAGGTAGAAAATAATAATAAATTGTTTACAACGGATCTGCTGTGTTGCTGCTCTCTTAGCTTGCAGTTTTAATATTTTGGTTTGGATGCCCCAAATAACCAGTACCAATGACAGTTGAATAAAAGAATAAAAACAACCATCACTCAGAGTGTGTGACCCGGTGTTTGAAGAACCTGCAGAGGAACAGTCACGTATGAGGTGTGCTTACAGCAAAAATTACACCCCAAA